AGAAGAAGAAGAAGAAGAAGAAGAAGAAGAAGAAGAAGAAGAAGAAGAAGAAGAAGAAGAAGAAGAAGAAGAAGAAGAAGAAGAAGAAGAAGACAGGAGGAGGAGGAGGAAGAAGAAAGAGGAGGAGGAGAGGGAAGGGAGAGGAGAAAGAGAGGAATAAATCTGACAAATGCTAGCCAATTGCACAGTATCTTGGTTTTAACTGACAGCAGAACTATTGAAATATCTACCAATCCAGTGAGGGGAAGAAAAAAAAAAAAATATATATATATACATATATTAGCATTTTAGTCCTTTAAGATACTTTAGAATAAAAAGTATATCTAAGCATACTGAATGTCTCTGTTGGATATTATTTGCCTAATATTTTCACCACCAGCAGCCATCCCGCCACTGGCATTGTTCCTAGATCACACTCAAGACATTGGCTCTACCGTGCTCTAGTCTTTAAATAATATGATGCTGTGATTCACGGAGCAGAGGCTTAGCCCTGGGACTGGGCTTTATCACACAGTCCACTGTTACATAGCCTGGCCCTTCTGCTCATTTGCTAAGCAAATGGTGAGGGCTAGGGGCACCTCTGTGACCATGAAAGTGATATGCCTCAGATGTCACCCGGCTGACCTGAACTACTGTGCCTACTGTTGCATAGCCCCTAGTCTAACAAAACAAGGCAATCTTTTGATCCCCATGCTAAGTCAGTAAATTAAGGAGACATCAATTTATGGATAAGAAGAAAATGGGTTCAAAATGATTTTTACTGTGGCAATATTTATTCAAATTAACTTCCCAAAAAGAAAGTCCTGAAGACTTCAAAAGTTAAGAAGAATGATAAATCAAGTCATTAAAAATATTTAATGAAGAATAGCTGAAATGCTGTAGGCAGATTATATGAATGGAAAATAGCAGGGAAATAATTTGAAAGTCTAGAAGAAGCTACAAATTGGAATATGAAAACCAGATAATAGGCCACTCTCATACCATCTGGGATAAAGCTTGCTATATTGAGGAATGCTTTTAATTATAAATTTAATTTTTTAATAAATAAATTGATAATCAGACTGTTTTGCATTAAATTTATGGTTGTATTTTCCAAGAATGTGTCCATTTCATTGAAGATATAAAATTTATTGTAGTAATTTTTTTTATAACTCTTTTATTATTCCTTTATTTCTACATGACCTTTTATTATGGGGGCTGGACATTGTGTATTACATTTTCTAAGTGTTACTAGAGGTTTGATAAATTTTGTTGATATATTTAAAGGACTATATTTAAGTTTGTTGTTTTATTAAATTGGTTTCCATTCCTATCTCTACTAATTACTTCTTTCCATTTAGTTTGGCTTTGATTTTTCTGCTTTTCCTAACTCCTAACTTTTTAATATGAGAACTTAGTTAATTACACAGCTTTAAATTTGTTTGTTAATTTAAAATTAGATATTATTTTGCTGTACACTACAAAGTTAAAATATATTTTCACTACCATGGAATTAAAATATCTCTATTATCTTCATATCTTTATGAATGTGATTTGCAATAATTTGGAAAGTTTCAAGACTTTCATTACATCGATTTCTCATTGAATTATGTTATAATATAGGAAGATACTCTATATATTGTGATTTTAAAAAGGAATTGGAATTTATTTTACATTCTAGCATATAGTATACTTGGTATAGCTTGGTGAAAGTTTCTTTCACACTTGAAAATAATTTATACTCTGTAATATGATTGGGATAGTCTATGAATGTATATTTTCTACATTCATATTCATTTTCCTATTTATGTTAGCAACCAATGAGAAAAAAATGTTTACATTTCATTCTTTTTTCTTGTCTTCTTTGACAAAAAAAATGTCAATTTTATTCACACATTCCATCCATTCCATGTTCTCTGTAATCTTTTAAACTCTGTCTCTCTCCATATATTTTTTTCTTTTTTTTAGACAGGGTTTCACCACGTAGTTCATACCAGCCTTGACCTCTTTATGTTGCCCAGACTGGGTTGGCCTTGAACTCATGGTGATCCTCCTACCTCAGCCTCCTACGTGTTGAGATTACAGGTAAGTACTACAACACCTATCTCATTTTAACAATATCTGTAATTTGAGCTTGTTCTGGGCTTTAAAATGTGTAGATTTAACATAATAGCATCCAGTTTTAAATTGTTTTTTGTATATCTATTTTTTATTAGTTTATATTCATAGTACATAATGTTTATATTGTGTGCAATTAGTACGTGTGCATAACATATTCTAACGCCCCCCTCTTCATCCTGTTTCCATTCCCACCTCCACTTTCTATCCCTGGAATCCTTTCCTGTTTCTCGTACATGTTTACAACTCACAATATTTGTGTTCCATGTGTGGAGTTGGTATGGGCATGTGACACATCTGAATTCCTTTTTCATCCTTTTTTCCCGTCCTCATTGCCCTTTCCTTCAGCTTTTGACCCCCTCCCCCACTTAGAAAACTCTATCTCCCCCCTTCCTGTCATGTATCTTTCATTTTATACCACTTCATATGGGAACACTGTACCAGAGGAACATTTTACTTACTCACCTATATTCTTTACTATAGTTATATTTTTGCTACATATTTTACTTTACATATTATAAGACTCAAAATGTTTTATTTCTTTATATTTAGGTTTGAGTGGACTTTTTTGAAACATTTATATATATATCACATATATTTACATATATGTGATATATACAAATATATTTACCTGGATACCAATATACCAGTACTGGTGCCCTCAAGTTTTGCCTATACATTTGAATTATTGTCTCGCAGAGTTTCTTATCTTTGAATATCTTCCCTCCTTTTAAATTACTTTTGTAGGGTATAAGGGAAGGAAATTTAATCAGCTTTTGCATATGTATTTCTTCCTTTGGAATTCTAAACTTATTGTCCCATTACCTCTGGGATTCAAAGTTTGTAATGCAAAAGGACCTCTTCCATACACACTTACTGTCCTCCATGTGAAGCATTTATTACTCTGATAACTTAGGGGATTTTTTTGCATTGTTGATTTTAATGGTTTGATGATGTACACAGGATTTTTCTCAGTAATTTATGTTTTTATCTTGTTTAGATTTGTTGAGCTTCCTGAATTAGTAATTATTCTGAATGGTATTAGACACCTCACATAATATTAATGTGAAACTGACTTGGAGCAGTAACAATCTCCAATTCAACTTTCCTAAGAACATAATTGTGTAGACATATCCCTGCATTAATGGCATAGGCTCTGAAATCTTATAACCCAGATTTTTTCCATTAACATTTGGCAAATTACTAAATGGCTTTTGGGGAAACAGAGCACCCAGTGTAAAACTGACTGATTAATATAATGGAAGTAGAAAGCACTTTTGATAGTAAAAAGTAATAAGCTATTTGATTTTATATACAATAAATAGAAAAAGTATGATTTTGAAGTACAGCTGGATATAAATAAGCTTTGGAAATTTATAAACAGTGGCTAATTTCTATGATGTACAAGTTGGTGACAATGTGGTCAGTTATTTCAGTAGAAACAGTCCTCAACGTTTTTTTTTAAATTTTCACATTCTTGTTTTGAAGTGGCATCTTTTCAAATATAAGACCCCGGGCTGGGGGTTAGCTCAGTGGTAAAGTGCCTGCCTGGCAACTGCAAGGTCATGAGTTCAATTCCTGGTACAGGAAGAAAAACAAAAGCAAATCACATATAAGACCCTGCTGGTTTTGATAGCTGAGGAGATCAATACCTTTAAATAATAGCAAACCAAAAAACAATTAAATACACCCCATATCTAATTAAAACTACATTACCATAGTTACATATAATGCTTTATAGATTTTGTAATGTGCTTATTCATATATATTTTTATATTAATAGTGTCTTTGAAAATAATTCCTATTTTTGGATCATATTTTATTGCCAATTTTGTCCATTTCCTGTAAATCAGGAAAAAAACAAA